TGTATTTGACTTTGAAATTGGACTTTATCCTGTACAATCTCTACTTATTTGCACGACGTTTTCTAGGAGGTTCAGGTCGGAGTTTCTGATACAACAGCATTTTCAGGAGTAAGTTGAAGTACTTCCAACTCCTCGAGAATCTGTGAAGCACAATCTCCAGACATCTAAGTAAGTTCCTGCATGTGACACAAGAGGAAGTTCGGGCCCAATAGTCTCAGCATATACAGAAGTCAACTTCCTCATCACAAGCAAGCATTCCTTCTTGTTTTGCAGCTTCATGTTTATCGAACTCTTCAATCAGTTTTTAAAATCTACATTTCTAGATTCATGTCACCCTCCCTTGCAAATTGAAACAAGTCATTCCAACGCTGTAATTCATACCTGATGCAACTATTTTGAAACGCATTTACATATAAAGGGTCAGCCATAGTCCAGGGTACTTAATGACAAGTGTTGATATTCTTGGTTTGCACGTGACGTCACTAAAAATCAAACTAAGAAACTATCGATTCTTCTGAGTTTCTACTTTCACGAGGTATTACAGCACCTGAACACTTTTATCTAAACAAATTTTTGGTTCCAAAGGGTACTTCGATTTGCGAGAGAGGACGCTTGAAGTTCCAGGCTTTTGCGTGACGCGGCATTTAGCTGACGGCCAGGAGAGCTCTTATGTAGGCTAAAAACATGACCGATTTTGGGATATTTTGCTATCTAAACATTCCTTGTCTCAGAATAAATATTACTTTAATCTTTATGAGTTCCCCACGCGAATAATTCACGCATTAGTAGAAAAACTCGAAAACAGATGTTTCTGCATGTTGGTATCCGGCGGCCATATTGGTGTCCCTGAAAGGGACTCCAACATGGCGTTTCCATACAAAGCTTTATAAATTTAGTAAATCGTTTTTCAAAATATCTCGCATTTGAAATATTGCACAGACCTGATTTTTGGCAAGACGTTTTGCATATTTATCTTCTTTCATTTCCCAGATTCTAGACGTTCTGTATTGAATGGGTTGCAATTTTTATTTTTCATTGCGTGACAGTGCAAACCGAGAATATGTCGAAAATATCTGACCCTACAAGGCATTTGCTTTGCCTTTAACTACCACTTCAGTGTCTATGACTGCACCTTCCATAACAAGGTTAAACATCTCGTAAGATGCTTTGGCCAACAGGGCTTCTTGGTGAATAACTACATTTTTACTTAACAAATCTTGAAAAACAAAACTATTATTCAAGCCCTGATACAAACGTGAAATCTTAGCTGCAGTCAGTGCAAGTGACTGAGCTTTTTGAGATTTTGCGGCATTTGAACTGCCAATCAACAACAATGTGTTTTGTTTTTGAATAGACTTTTCCATAATGTTCATGCAGTCTTTAATGAACTGCCACTTCATGATAACATCAAACATCTTCAGGCTACGTTCCACTGACATAACCTTGACACCTTCGGGCTTTATGATACTTCCCATCTGCTCTCGCCAGGGTTTTGCCGACTGGGTCAATGAGTACCAATCCATTGCCGTTGCTAATGTCTGGTTTAAGTTCCTTTTACTGAAATGCTCTTCCATGATTGTAGCTGCTCTTGCCGGATCTCTAGATAGGACCCAAGACTGGAACTGCTCGATGGTCCCGGCTTTGGACTTGTGTATGACGGACATAACATCGAACAGTACGGCTCCACCTTTGGTTTGCGCACTTCCTGGGTCGAAAAGAGCACCTGCACCACTAAATCCTTCATCGACCCCAGGCACTTCAGGATGGCTTCCTGGTTCTAGTGGCACATGGTGCAAATACTTGTATCCATTCTTTTCAAAGACAAGGTCCTTTATACTTTCTGTATAGTACGCAAGGGATCGTGGAGGTCTTCTAAGGTACAGGAATAATCCTGAAGGTTTGAATATATTTTGTCCTTCAAGAGTTTCGGTACCATATCCTTCAGCTTTGTCACGTACCCAACAACCAAGGGCGCTTGAAGACGCTTCACCTTCTCGGGGACGTTGTCTCGTGACAGCGATGTGATAATGGTCCCCAACGATGATATGTTTTCCACATGCATCGCGATCGTTGAAGTGTTCCCAGTATGCACCTCTAAACTGCGGGTCTTCTCGTGCTCTTTTCTCCATATATGCAAAGAGCTCATCGTCAAAATAGGCTCTTTCGAGAGAGCGTTTTGGAGCTGCGATAATAAAAGTGTATCCATTAAGGAAGATCCCTTCAGCATCTCGGATCTGGACACTGGGTTGCTGTGTTCGTGGCATGTTGACTCCGGAGGACAGTCTTGATGTTCACAGCTGTGCTCATCGATTGCCTGGATCAGGCTGTATGACAGAAACTTGGTCTCCTTATGTAGCGTTTATTTGACATTGGCATTGGCACTGAACTTAAACTTGAACCACTATTAATTTACACCACTGTCGCTCAAGGTCAATCCAAATTGGTCTTCTCTGAAATCTGCCTTTAAATACATGTTACACCGTCGCAAACCCACAATGAATAGCGCTGCGCACAGATGACGTCACAAAAACATGACCTCTACCAAGACTCAGACAATCATCGGCCATTTCTGCAAAAGGTCGCAAGAGTGCTGTATGAAAACGCACAGTTTGCGATCAGTTCTGCTCGCCCTTTTGGCGTTTTCAGGTGCGTTCCAGTTTCGAAATTCGAGAAAGATCCAGGAGAATATAATGAAGAATAAATCAAAACATAGCTTAAGTACAAAAGATTGAAGCAGAGCAGAAAATGAGAGGACTTTTAAACGTTGTGTCTCGATACCTTACTGCAGCCGGTAAATGTTTTCAAAGAACAAGATACCTGGCAGTCTGATATTCAAGTCCACTTTTCAATAATTCCTTTAAGAAAATTTGATATTTGTGTACAAATTTCGATTTATGTGCGCCGAAGTAGAAAGAGTCGTAGTCGTACCAGATATTCGATAAGTTCAGTTTTGCGTGAAAAACAGAGAGACCGTAGTAATATTTCAGACTACCGGGCTGTTCCGGGCTAGTATTCTTAGAACCGTCCCCACGATTCGAGATTCGAATATACTCAAGCTCGGAGAATTCGTCCACTAGAAGACTAAACCTTTTTTAGAATTGCTTAGCATTTGGGAACAAACATCAAATGCTCCGGGGAGGTTTCGATGATAATTTTTCTGGATATCCTTTGAAAACTCACTCTGTGCGTCACGCCGGTGAAGTGTTAAAAACATTGAGATTTCACTATATACCCACCTTCGACGATTGACTCTACTTCAAACCCAAGGCAATGTTTGAAATCGCTTGAGATTTCTAAAGAAACATTTTTTTTTTTAGAAGAATTAAATCGGAGAACTCGCAGGCGCTTGGAAGTATTAAATGGGCGTAAGAAAGAACTGGCGCGCGAGAGGGACACGCGTGTCTCCCTCTCGCGCGCCCGTTCTTTCTTACGCCCACTACTTCCAAGCGCCTGCATATATCGTAAAAAATGGATTAAATTTCAGACCGCCATGTATCTACTTCTTTCAAAACATTTCCCGGCTGCCTGGTCACTCAATAAAACACAGCTTTCTTTTCGGATTTCTCGCATTTACTTAGCAACTCAGACAACTTTTTCGGGGATCCTTGAGTCCCTTTTACATTCTTCCCAGCTGCAACGCTTGCTTTTACCATTTTCCCAATAAAAATACGCAAAAAACAGTCACGCGGGGGGCATGTGACGTAAACTATTTTTAGAATTTGTGCGCAACGCTACTGGTTCTTTCCCCGCCGATGGATTAAAGGCTGGTTTCGTATTCGATTCTATCGTAAACAAAGGCGTGACAAATTTAACTGCAATCAATGTCACAAATAATTCCTCTGCGCCCAGTGATCCAGCGACCGAAATTATGCTTAGAATGCTTTGTAATACGCATTTAAGAATCAAATGGGACAATGAAAAAAGAAGAATAAGACAAGAGGGAAAATGTAGGTGTTCTGACGACAAGGTTCGGGAGGACAGACCCAGTTCCGAATGTAAAATAGTCAATTCAGGGAGTGGGTAGAGTGGGTAACTGCTTTACAAGGGGGAGGGTCAGTAAAATTTGAAAAAGGCTTTCCTCCATTTGCTCAAGCTCTCCCCTCCCCTCTCTACTTAGTAACGATCGGTTCCAAATAAACGCACTCACTGGCCGGGACATATTATCCCATTTTAACAGGCGATTCTTAAGGGCCTCTACACTGATAAGTCGCGACAACCGGGATGACTCGGTTTCGTAGATCTCGCCACGCTCAGATTCCAAATGTAGACAACGTACATAGCGTATTATGTCCTCAAAAGTGTGATATGTTGGCGCACACCGCATGTTTGTGACAGGTCAACTGATAATAACTGTTTGTTATGGAACCCATTCAGCCTATTTGCCGAACGCAATCGTTCTTGGAACCGCGTTTCAGTTTAGTGAAAAACAAACAGTTACAGTTAGGCCATTTAGCTGGATGTATTTATCCAGGGGAAGCTCTAAACAAAGGCAGTATCTCTGTTTTTTGGAATAGGCTTTGGTCTCGGACTGCTGTCAGATTTGCCGACTTCCGCATATCCGGATTTCCGCATTTGCGGGATTTACGGGTCACTTCGCATTTGGCCGTGTACAGCTCGTTGAACGGAAGGTTCATTTGAGGTTGTGAGATACAAACATTTTACAGCGCCGCGAAATGCGCCTAATTTTCAATTTTTGAGACGAGTGAACTGGCTCGGTGTGGCGGGACAAAATACTCAGAGCCCCACAACGCGGCTAGAAAATTATTGCGAATCAAAGCAAACCTATTTTAGTTATAGTTTCGATAATGTCTTTCACTTGCCAGAGTTTCAGGTTCACCGATTCACCGATGCATGCTTTGAAAAAGTTTAAAGGCACGAAAACGTTCCTTAGATTAAGGTTTCAGTTGCAACAAGAGCCATAATGGTTGCAAGTAATTTCTAAGTTCTCCTTATATTTTTTACGTCACCTGAACCCACACAGACGAATGACGGCACACGTCAGATAGACCATAACACCGGGACTACGCCCGCTACTCTTTTCGAACAATGTCACAGGTTCTTTAGAGTTCCCTTCCAACTGATGAGCAAGGATGAAAGACACGAGACCAACGGCTTCACGTCACCACCCAATGACGTGATCGTCTTAACTGAGAGAGGGACTGAAATACAGCTATCATGATCTTAACAGTTTTTAATGGTTGGTGGTCCAGCCAAGGTTAGAACTCACGGCCTTCAACTCAGCAGACCGGCACTCTTCAAACTGAGCTAACAGGGCGGAAGTTAATGTCTCGTGCTTTGCGCTGGACAAAATAACACCCGTTATGCAGGCTGAAGATTTTGTCTCGAATAAATCCCTAATAAATCAATATGTATACCTTGGTCACAAAAGATTCCAAATCCACCCGGCTTTCCATCTTTGATCATCAGTTCTCTCAGTTTCTCAAGAAAAACTGCAAAATGAAGAATAAATCATGTTGTTCCAGAGGGAAAATAAACAAGTCAAGCATCAAACGTAATAAAATCAAAGAAATAACCGCATTTACTCAAATAAGCGCCGCCCCGATTAACCGCCGCATTTTGGACAAAAAAGTTAATAAGCTCTGCCCCAAAATAAGCGCCGCGGTTCTGATACAAAAATGTTAATTCTTTTAGCTTAAGCCGCCTAATTAAAACAATTCTTTGTCGCGTGCGACTTTCAAATAAACGCCGCCCTTGAATACGCGCCGCGTTTAAGGCGTGAGAAATTCACTTATTCGAGAAAATGCGGTACGCGAAAGGTGTACAAAAAAGTAAGGAAAACAAAAAAAACAGTATGTCTATTAACCATAATTATATTCAAGACGGATGAAAGTTCATGCTTCCTACCATGCAGATAAATGCTAAATCAAAAGGTATTTCAAGCTTAAAACCCAAAGACCTCTCCTTCACCTGAGGAAAATATGCTTTTTACTTCGTAGGTTAGTTCCTTTTCAGTTTGAACTGCTGTGTCTTTTTCTCCGGGTTGTTCGTTACAAATGCCATATTTATCACCAAGTTTTGTTTCCAGCTGGGAACAAATGTGTCGAACAAAGTTTCCTATAAATGAAAAATCAATATTAATTTAATGGTGCTCATCTGAACGAAAATTCTGGTGGTGACTACCATCCATCAAAATCCTAGATAGATAAGAACTTAACTGAGTGTTACTGAGTGCCAATCTTACCAGCGTGGATGTTGTCCTTAAAAACTGCACCAGGCAAGTGGAAGATGAGGTGTCTTGAAAACTTGGAATTGGTACTAAAATTAATAGTAGTACAGCAGTACCAACTTGTTACAGAACATAATCAACAAAGGAAGGTCAAAGCTCCCTTAAACAGAAGCCCTCGGGAGGTAGAAAAAGGACCAGTAAGTCAAGCTGTCTGCCTACCCAAAGGAGACTTGTAAATGACTCGTAGTTGTATATTAAGGGATAGGTGGGTGCTTACAAAATTTAATTTTGGAATGCTCACACTAAGCACACTCAGGCTACTAAGGCTGAAAAAATACCACTGTACTAACCACTATTTGCGTACTGTAACATGTCACATGACCAACTGAAGTCAGAACTTAGCATAGCATGTAAAACTGAAGCTGACAAGTAACAATGCTTCTTAAAGCACAAAATGCAACTAAAACTGCTCGCCACTCAATAAGCCATTTGACCCGTCAACATTTGAGTTTCCTACATAATCTTTACAGTTGAAACAATAGAATGGCATAAACTCTACCTATAAACTTGACAGAAACTACTTAGGGGTATATCAGTTCTTTGCTTACTTTGAGTGATGAGAGTGCAGAACTGTATACTACACCTTAAGTACACTTTTACGTCTTTTTTGTTGCCGCCTACCTTGAATCCAAATCTATAACAGTCCTTCTGTCACAATTTAAGTCATACATATCCTTGAGTTGAAGACAAACATACTGCAGTAAAAATGAGATAAGTTTTTGTTTTTAATTTGAAATGCTGAATCAGCTAAAGTTTTAAATTGTAACCAAGGGCGGTTTCCATTCAACAAAAATTCCGGTTTGAAATTTCGGAAATTCCACGTGCCCAATGGAACGATACATTCCGGTTGCACAGACCTGACCCAAGCCTCTGCACGTTTGGTTATTGTTCTTGTAAGCAGGATACAAAAGAGCGGTACTGGGGACAACAATTTTGTCAAATGGAAAGGGACATTTCGGTCGGTCTGACCGACCTTCTAAGCTGGTCCATAATATTCCGATCGGATCAAACCGAAATGGTCCGTTCCATTTGATATACCAACCGTAATTTCAGGAATTTTAGGTTGAATGGAAAGCTCAGATGCAAGATCTCGTATACACTTCAAAATATTGTTGCCTAGGGATTTACTAGAAAAAGGAATATTCAAAGGTATCCAACTGAGAAAAGTCTATACAGGACACTACAGGGTATGTTTTTACCAGTTATATCATTTTACGAGTCCATATACAGCGAACACTAGGGGGGCAAAGCTAAGATGGTTTTATTTCCCTTCTATCATAATAATGAGTGAATACATTTCATCACTTGACCATCTGAAAGTTCAACTGTGGAATACCATACAATAAAAGGATTTTTTTTGTGCCATAAAATATCTACATATTGACTTTTCAGTTACAGACCTCTATAAAAGTGTCCACCATTTTGCTTCCATTTTTCTCAGGATTAAGTTCAGTCTTGAACTCCAAGTCAAAATACAACCTACAGGCAGCTCCTGTAACATTGGAATAGATTAATTGTCATTATTCTACCAGTAAAGAGCGAAAAAGAGAAAAAAAAAATTTAAAAAATAAAATTCCCATGAATATCAGTTTCAAAAGTATATTCCATGTAGTATTAGGTCATGGAAAAAGAAAAATACAATGACCCTCAATCTGAGGACCTTTATGTGCCTAAACCACCATCACCCCCAATCTACCAATTATTTTAGCTGCCTTTTGCCCTGTTGACACCTGAACTACCCATAGCTGCTCGTGTGGATCCAAGTCCCTTGTACTGCTTGTAACTTCACCATTTTTAATTACATGTAACAGTCATAGACAATAATTATTATTTTGACATCTAACCTGTGTAGGGGAAAGAGATCTCTCAAACCATAGCCAACTGAGCATGATTCAGTCAAACAGGCCAGAGAACAATGCACAAAACCATGCATGTCAAGTTGAGGCAAAAATTGTAATGGAAAAATCTTGTTCCACTAACCACCTGCACTTCGACCTTCAAACTAATCTGACAACCATAAAAACTTTCCCTCCAATTTTTTTCCACTGAAATGAAGCCTTGTACAAACCCAGCAAAAGAAAAGAAACAGGAAGAAAAGCGAAAGTAGAACATGTAGAAAGGAGGCAAGAGATCAAAAGTAACAGCAGAACTTTTGTCCACTGTGCAGGCCCAAAAATACTTGAGAAGCAGTAATTAAGCATCAGGGACAGAGAGCAGCATTGTGTAACTTGTAAACAAGGCTTTGGGCAGTTTTGCTACGTTTTGGCCAGACAGTGACTAAGGAAACGGCTTGACTAGCTTAGAACAGTATTTTTTGGCCAAATTTCCAATGGCGAATTGGTTCATTATATACATTCATGATAATTATTATAATACATGTATTATTGTTGACATCACAGTAAAAAAGAAACTGCAGGTGCAAAACACCATTCTGACATACTGTAAACTGCTGCTTTTAAGCCCTGGGCTTATATAGCTTTGTAAGAGGTTTAAGGAGTGCTTTGTAAACAGACAGGCTTATATCTGAGGCCACTTATAACAAGAATAGAAAAGGCCCTTCAAAAACAAGCTATTAGCAGTGCTGATCAAAATACATTTTTCATTTACTGGTTTTTAAGTAAGCTTCAAAGCATCATAATAAATCAAATTCAAAATACATTTGGAGGGGGGCTTGTATCTGGAGGGGCTTTTAATTGGATGTATTTTTTGCTTACAGGTAGATGGGCCTGTAACTCATTGGGGGGGCTCATAAGTGGGGGAGCTTTATAAGGGGCAGTTTACAGTATACCTAACTCAATAAGTGTTGCTTTCAGGAGTACAGAGCTCACTGCTTAGCAACAATTTGCTTGATTGACTGCCAAGCAGTAGCCTCCCAGTGCACAATTGCTCAATGCCTAAAGGAACCTTTATTGAATCGGGTATATAAATAAGAAAATGTATTCATTTTCAAGAATTATATCTGAAGTGAAATGTTAATGCAGTATCAAAAAACTATCATACCCTCTGGTATAACCTCGTAGTAATTTTTGTCTTCAGGTCTTTCTCTGTAAGTTGAACAGAAATGCAAAAATTCATGTTACTTACATGTATTCATTGGAAATTCATGGTACTATAATTTATATGATTTTGGACATTTGAGAAGAACAACTTTTTGGCTTTCCAATTTAACGGAAACAAAGAAGATTATCTGGCAATTTAAAACTAGTCATTAACATTATAATAATCATTATGCAGTGATGTAGTTCATGAATTTGTATTGCTAAGACTGGAAAGCAAGAAAAAGTACACTAGAAACCTGAAGACAATTTTTCCCCTTTAAGGTCACAATGGACACCTTTCTATGAATAAATTCATGAGGCAAAATTTCATGAAGCAAAAGCGTTTGACCTTAGATCGTTGTCACACACACTCCCTAACCTTTGGTTATTACTAGTTAATAATTATTATTAATATACATTGTACTCATTGTCTGTCTTCTCATTGGCAAAGAGCCTACAGTTCATTTTGGAAATCAGTGCAACCTACAAATTAGTTTGTTATCTGCTGGCAGATTACTGTCTCAGGGTTGTCACTAAGATTTCAAGTTGCCGGGTTAATACAACAAGTAGGCGGGGAATCAAATGGCTAGGGGTTTCTTTTGGTTCTATTTTCCTTCTATTTTCCAATAAAAGTAGCCGGGGGCCACTCTCTTAGTAGCCGAGGAAAATCCCAAGGCCCTGGCTCTTAATGACAACCCTGCTGTCTAATCAATAGGCCGTGAGCACGCAATGCATGATTTCCCAGAGCAATGTCAACTGTGTTCCATGTGCACAATGCTGTGTTTGTTCTTTTTTTCTTCAAAACAATGTGTAATAAGACAACATTATAAGATTCAGTTCAAGGTCTTGGTAAGTGTTATCAGCCTTGGGCTTCGGCTCAGCTGATAACACTTACCTTGACCATTAACAATAATTCCAGATATCACAAAAACCTCATCCAATAATTGTTTAAAATCCATCATACCTTGTGTACCTGTACCAGAACTCAGGTAAGGTTGCAACAATGTATATGCGCTTTCCATGGTTATCTTTTTCTCTAGCAAAGACATGCACATCCTAAACGGCAGTGTGAGTGAAAATATCATAAGAAAAATGTGATTCACTACAGTATCTCCATAAGACAGGTTGTAGGAGTTAACAAAAAAGCCAAAAATTATGTGAATGCAGTACAGCTGTAAAGTTTACAAGCAAGCCCATTTTGCTGTTGAAAGGTGAAGAAACTATAGGGTTTATTCTACAGTGTGGCCTTGCAGAATTTTCCAATCCAAAAAAGAACACCATTGTAAGTTTAACGGAAAGAAGAAAAGTTGTGTCTGAGTTCACTCCACTTCCTTTGCTTACTTTGTTTTACTAGTGACACAGACTTTCAAGATTTTGGCCTTGGTTTTCTCAAAAGCAAAGCAGAAAACTTGCTCTAGATAATGCAATATTGGTATTATCTAAGATCACAAATATAATCAGCAGAAACTGAAAGAATTTTAATTATTGTATTATCCATGGAGCCTGAATATAAATGTAGTACTTAGTATTTCCATTTTGATCCACCAGGGTGACCGATTCATTTACTCCATTTGTAAGGATACATTGATAAAAGTTAATCTTGTTGAATGTGTTACTTAGATGTCTGGTTTGTTATAGTATGATGGGGTGGATCAAGCTATAGTAGGGAAACTTAAGATGCAATTAAATGCAATTTAATGGAGCTTAACAACAAAGAGTGCTAGTCTTATCTTGTTGGCCAGTGGTGTTGTGAGATGTGCATGCACCAGGATCCCATATGCATGTTCTCTTGGATTTGTGTGCATTGTAGCATGTTCAAGTGTGTTTTAGCATCATGGCATTTTGGCATTTTTGGGCAAATTTAGTGAGCATTTATTCAGCCTGGTGTTTCACTTGTAAGGACTCAGTTTATAACAGTCTCCTCTCTCCCTTCCCAGTGTTTTCAAAATCAGCCGTCGGCCGTCGCATCCGACGGCATTTTTTTGATTTGCGACGCCTACTTTCCCTTAGGTAAATTATATGACAAATAAAACTTTTGATAAAAAGTGGTAAGTGTTCACAAAGCTGTTGCGAGCAAGCAAACTTGACATTTTTCTGGAGAATTTCGCCAAAACATCTTGAGTCTGCTTTTAAAATACGTTCTGCGTAATACGTTGAGTAAACATTGAGGACGAGTCGAAGACTGGGTCTCAGTTACAGGGAACATTGTAGTTAGCGGTTTCTGAAGCGACTCTATATAAAACGCCACATTTCGTCTCCAAGAACACGGCAAAATGGCAGAAAAGCGACAGCGTGGTTTACGGGAGATGTGGTCGCTGACAGTGACAAAAAAGAGTCTAGGAATTCAAAATTTCCTGGGGGGGCATGCCCCCAGACCCCCCTAGAGAGCAAGGCCCTCCGGGCCTTGCAACTCCTACTCAAATAAACGCAACTCCTACTTCAAAAACTGTTGAAAACCCTGCTTCCCTCTTTCCACTGACTTGCTTAGTGTGATGGGTGCCTTCTTTCTTCTCTCGTACAATATGCGATGGGGGCTCATGGCAGGGTTGCCAGGATTTGCCAGCCATGGGAGGGATACCCTTCAAGGAGCTAGCTGCCCATAGTGGAAGCTCCTGGATATCTCAGGCACCCAACTTCTACTTCACAATGAATTGTTAACTATAAATGAGACAAATGGTGGTAGCAGCTGCCAGTGGCACCCTTAAATGCTGACGTCCAAGCTTACTGTAGGGGGCATGTCTTGTTGTCTCTTCTAATCCAAAAGATTAGATTACACATTAAAATACAGGCTACTTCTTGTTATTGGTATTTAGAACATTGCTTCAACTACATAACTTACATTCTATGACATACAGTAACCAGTAGATACATTTATGTGTCAAAAAACATCATGATATTGACCTACCTGGTGGCAGGTCATGACATAATCAAATGCCATTTGCTGACGTGGAAAGGTCTCAAACACAGGCAAGGGGTCATCTATCCTACTTGCAAATAACCAGGAGCAATTATTAGAAAGAGAAATAATATTAATTTTACCTGTTAACTGTTACAAGTACACGTACAAAGAAGGAGGGGGGAGGAGAGGGTGCAACTCCCCCAACAAGGTTTTGTTCATTTTTTTTTTCTTTCTTTTTTCAAATCAATTTTGAGTCAGAAACTTAGTTTAACATTTCTTTTTACTCTGACAAAAAACTGATTTAGAAATGAGAAAAGTAGGATATTTATTTCTGGCACATTTTGGGTTGGATGCAAAACATTTTTGATTTTTTACATACCTTAGTTTCCTTCTTGGAATGATTGGGTGTCGGCTAAATTCAGTGGCAACTTTTTCCAGTTTAATCCTTTTTCGCTCCCAGTGTTTGTAGATGCTATGACATCACATAATGTAAATAGCTTATTAACTGACTGATCACTAATTATGACAAAAAGGTGGGACAGGGGATGGAATAAGTGCAACAAAAAAATATACATCCCTCCAAATGCAAACGTTTTGATAAGTACCCCCGGCCCGAAATATGTCTTGTGCAAAAAAATGGAATCCCACTCCCTTTTCAATTTGTGCCCACAGGTACCCCAAAGTCAAGAAGTAACTGAGAATCGTTGTGGTGCAACAGAAATATTATAACGGTTTATCTCACTGAAATGGTCAGAAATGCCAAGAACAAACCATAAATTATTTAACCAAGGAGAAACGGTAAGAAATTCTGATGTCTTTTATTACATACTTTTGACCCCTTAATAACAACCACTAACCTCATTACTTCTGTTATGCAACAACGATTGTCACTCGTGAGCTTGGGGTACCTGTGCTTGTGCCCTGCTATTCTTCTGACAATTATATTGAAAAGATTTTTAGGGAGTCCAAAAAAGAAATATCACAAATTACAGTGTAGCTTTAGTTTACAATACCTACTTTCTTCGACATTAGATTCTTATACAAATAGTTTTTTTTTTTTCACGCAGTTGCCTACCCAGCAAGATGGCTTCCAAAACCCGTGATAAGGTCTATCATACACATAGTGTCAATAAAACATTTAGCTAGTACAATAATTACATTCATTAAGTGGTTCTGGTTAATTACACGTCGATCATATTATGTGAAGTCAAAGCTTCTCTGAAGGGTTCACTGTATGCATGAATTGGTCAGCCATAAGCTCAATTTTCGCAAGCATATAAGCTTAAGCTTAAATAACGTAAGGAAAATTTATTATGTAGCACAATTCAAGCTTGTGGATAACAAAACGTCGAGATGTTAATGATAATTATATGAAATAAATCATGTAAAACGTCTAGATTAAACTATTAAATTGCTAGATGCTCTCGATCTACAGATGTGTTTTTAAAAACAGTTTCACAAAAGCTTGACAGGCAAACTAAAACAAGATTTTTTCTTAACCATGCTGTACATTTTAGTTTTATTCAAGCGTAAATATAAATAAGCTTGATTAATCTTATAAATGCCTGCTGCTTACCACTTTGAGTTATCGCCATAAAACGCCTTTACTTTTGCTTGGCAGTTCGCCATCGTTCCACTGGAGTATTCATTCACAGAAATAGTGAACCGCACATTGTTTAGAAGTCTCATCCGCAAAACAGCTGATAACGATTGTCGCAAAGAAGCGCGCATTGGCTTTTTAAAATTTGTAGCCACATTTATAAATAAACCAAGTGCGCCATATTTTCACTTTTGGCGCCAGGGGAATGTTATTACCTCGTCCTCATAGCGAGGCTATTGCCATATTTGGAATGTTATACGATTGCAAAGGTTTCTGGGACAGAGCAAGCGCGTGTTCTGCGCGACTTTCTTTACCGGCGAAAATTACATGGCGGACGCAAATTGATTAATTGACACTGCGAAACGAGTGTTTTGTGGAGATTGTGGTGGTTATTTCGCTTCGACTTCAGTCCAGGATGTCAAAGAGAAGATTAGACGTTGATGGGAATTCTTCCAATTCGCTAAGCACCGCGAAAAGGATACGGGAAGAGCTAAGGTAGGCAATGCGAACGGAAACTAAGCTTTACTTTCCAACTGCGCCTCTCCAAATAAATTAGGAAAAATTCACAAATCCATTTACTAGTGTTACTGTTATGGTACGATATGTTTGTTAGACTTGTGTACTATGCTACTTTTTATAGAACTTTACCGAAAGTGACTTAAAAGATTATGAGCTAGATCGATCATAAGCACCACATTCGTTTTATATTAAGCTTGCCTTTTTGTTATGTGTCTTATTTTAGTGATTTATTTATGTTTTCCCCGTACTTAGTAATCCCAGCAATCTGCGTGGAAAGATCAACCCTTACAATGGGAAGCTATTCACGGACAAATACTTTGACATACTGAAGAAGAGAATTGAGCTGCCAGTGTGGGAGTACAGAGAGAAGTTTATGGAGGGGATGAAGGAACATCAGGTTTTTGTTCTTGTGGGTGAAACAGGGTCTGGAAAAACTACCCAGGTAATTAAAGTTATGGTCACATGCAATTTGAACACTCTTTCATTTGAACTACACAGTCGACTTAAAACCTTGTATTTGGGGTCATGAACATTGTAAGAGGTGGGGATACTTAAATCCCTTAAGCTTGGTTCTCATATGTTGCAGACTTTAGCCTGCTCCAGTCTCCTAGACATATATAGCTGGGTCAAGAAATTGAGAAAAAAATAACATGGGATGAAACTAGGAGAGGAAGGGCGTTGGAGCCTGTAATCATTTCTTTAAAAGGCTTGTTCCGGTATACCAGCTTCTGGTATACCTTCTGGTTGGTCAGATTTGACAGGTTATATCAACACCTCTGAACGCAAGTCATTCCTGTCACTCAGAAAGATGGCATGCAGCATCTATGTGCATGAGTTAGAGGAATCCTTGACAACTTCTGTCCAGTGGATGAGTGTTTGCAAGATTTCCCAACGCAACACATAGTAGCGCTCAGGAAGGAAAAGAAGATCTGCCTTGTGAACTTGGCGTGTGGTAAATACCTGTTTGCGAGTTCTGCCAGTTGGCTTCGGCAAGAACAATTTCAGCCTTATCTGCAACTGGCGAAAGCCTTTTTAACATTCAGAGAAATGCACAATAATTGTAGTTTCTCTGTTGGTCTCGGTAATGTAAGATCAAGTCGGACAATTAAAAAAACTTGAAGGTTTGGTGACGATATCAAAAAGGATGCAGGGTTCTCAATAGAAGGCGCACCCGGCGATTGATCGCCGCTTACTTTGGGATTTATAGCCGCTTACTTTGTGTTTAGGTCGCTTTTCTTTGCTTTGTTTTGGCACCTCTGGCTTTGCTGAAGAGCCTCCTACTTTATCAGTGATCACCTCCTACTTAAAAATCTATTGAGAACCCTGAGGATGAGAAAAATGTAAAGGAAGCTGAGAACGGAAAATGAATAACTAAATTATTTTCTAGTTGTTCATTTCCCCACCCACTAATTGCTTATGTCTACAGCAACTTGGAATCTTAGTGACAGCCCTGTAAACAGGATAGCAAAAATAATAAATGCTTTTTGTCTGAAACACCCCTACCCAAAATTACCCTATGTGTCTCTCCCAGCTAGAAGAACAAAATTAAAGATAGATTCAAACTGACAAGTGTCAATTTGAACTTTGTAGATTCCTCAGTGGTGTCTTGAAACTCGTGTAGACAAACGGAAATGTGTAGCTTGTACTCAGCCAAGAAGGGTAGCAGCGATGAGTGTGGCCCAGCGTGTTGCTGATGAGTTAGACGTGTTGATTGGTCAGGAAGTTGGTTATACCATTCGATTTGAGGATTGCACAAGTCCTAGAACAATACTCAAGTAGGTGTAACTATCAGAAATAGGTTGTGACTAGAATGGATGACTTAAAATCAGGTTGAACATCGTATGTTTGTTTCACAACATTACTCCTTGTAGAGAACCATTTATGTGAATTTATTGGGCTCATTTTTGAGAAAAGTGGGGAAATCAGTGTAAGAGATAGTGTCATGTAAAGTACATTCAAATTAACCGGTGTCAGCAGGTAGCCCTTGATGGTGTGGTGGATGCATATGTGGATTAAACATCAAATGATGTGGGTTCAATTCCTACTTACTACCTACTGTTTTCTTCCATTTTCTTTCCTCTCTTACTTACTATTTTAACTTATAAGACTTTTGTATTTTGGGTAAAGATGACAATCTGATTTTGGGGGTGTCCATTCTACTCACAACCATAGGAATGTTTGGATGCCCATGGATAGGCAAGCCAATAATATTACATGTATTTATATAATTTTAAGGTACATGACAGATGGTATGTTGCTGCGGGAAGCTATGACAGATCCTCTGCTTGAACGTTATGCTGTCATTTTGCTTGATGAAGCCCATGAGAGAACACTAGCCACTGATATACTAATGGGTCTTCTGAAAGAGGTATTTCATGGAAAATGGTATTTCCTTAGATGAGTGTTTGGGCGCCTGTTTAAAATTTTGGCTAAAAGGAGGGGCATTATTGTTATGAAGTTTTCCTTTGAACAAATGTTTACTTTCTTTTGGCTAAATCTTTAATAGGTAATTAACAAAAACTGTATCATTATCCATGTAAATGTTAAGTCACTATTAATGTCTTTTGTTTGTTTAGACATTGGTTGGTAATCAAGTGTACTGTGGTCCCATCGTACACTACACACAGATGTTTGATATGCATGTGTTGCTTATAAAATATAGATTACCTTATCATCATCATTAGTGAGTTTACACAACAGTACAACAGGAAGAAGAGAATGGCAAAATGCTTGTGAGAGACAAGCGTGACAGGGCTATTACTTGCGTGTTTTGTTGTAATCTTCACTTAACATTAATAATTTATTGTCTTGTCTTTTACAAAAAGATCTGTTTGAAGGAAGGTGAAGTTTGGCGGAAAGTTTTTTCAAACAAATTATTGTCACACTTGTCACACAAGGTTTGCCATCTTCTTTCGTCTCCCGTCCTGTTGTGTAAGTTCACTAATATCTCATCAATACAGTGGCAATAGAAACAGGTTTTCCTATCCCTACAGTTTAAGATAATTTGCCTTAGGGGCTGGGCGCTTATTCGGGGAGGATGTGTATTAGATTGTGAGGGCTTATTCAAGGAAATGCAGTAGTATTATTTTTACTTTTAACTTCTGTGTACACTTGTAATATTTGAGGAAAATAATATTACAGCATTAGGCCTCTCACTTTAGTTTTTACATGTGTAGATTGTTATTATAATATGCCCTAATATTTTTTGGTAGGTGGTCAAACAAAGAAGTGATCTTAAGATCATCATCATGAGTGCAACACTGGATGCTGGAAAATTTCAAGAGTACTTTGACAATGCTCCACTCATGACCATACCTGGACGGACACATCCTGTGGAGATATTCTATACACCTGAACCTGAGCGTGACTATTTAGAAGCAGCCATTAAAACTGTAGTACAGATTCACATGTGTGAGGAAGGGGAAGGAGATATTTTACTCTTTCTCACAGGACAGGAGGTTTGTATTGAACCTTTGGGTGGAGAACTCTGAGCAGTAATCACTTGTAGAATTTTAGCCAATAATTCTACCACAGAAAATTACATCTTAAATTTTTGAAGCTTGTGCAATGAATTAAGTCTTCCTTGTTACCTGAAGGGCTAATTAAGTAACTCACCAGGAGCCATTTAAACTCCAGACGTTATCAGTTTAAAGCCAGCTCTTTGAATCAAACAAAACAGCATGCGAGGCACGTTCCCCACACCCATCAATTGGCAATGGTCAAACTCAGGGTGCTGCAAGCAAGCGCAGAAGGTAACCATGACAACCCTGTAAGCAGTGACCACCAGACACCACCACACTGAGAACTCAAGTGGGGAGTTTTGCAGATACTTCTGTGCGATATCTAGAGGAAAGGGAGGGATGGGAGCTAAAATAACTAAAATGAATGCACGCAAAGGCATTGTGAGCAGGGCTGTCACTAAGATTTCAAGTTGCTGAGTATTTGCAATTATTAGAAGCGGGGAACTGAACAGTCACAGAGTTCTTTTGGTCTCATTTTCCTTTTGTTTCCTACAAAAATAGCCGGGGTTATGCTCATAGTTGCCGGGGGAAATCCCCAGCTCCCAACCCTCAGTGACAGCCCTGTTGTGTGTGAAATGATCGACCATAGCAAAAGTGCTGTAAAATACTCTGCAAATGCCCAAAGACAGGGCCATATAGGACTACTGAAGGAGACCACTGACCAGCATTGTCCTGTATTTAATCTAGCCTAAATTACATTTAGGCACATAGCATTATTTTTGTTTCATGCAACTGGCCCCAGGGATATCACTGGGTACCACTAGCTGAGCACAGCTCCAGCTGGGCAAGATTTTCTACATGTTCGCGTTATGAAAATATTTACTCAATTTTGTAGGAAATCGAGGAAGCTTGCAAGAGGTTGAAGAAGGAAATTGACAACCTGGGTCCAGAGATTGGAGAGTTACGCTGCATTCCTCTTTATTCTACTCTTCCTCCTGCTCAACAGCAGCGCATCTTTGACCCTGCTCCACCTAAAAGACCCAATGGAGCCATTGGTCGCAAGTGTGTTGTGTCTACTAACATTGCTGAGACATCCCTCACTATTGATGGTGTTGTGTTTGTTATTGATCCTGGATTTTCCAAACAGAAGGTTTGTCAAATCTGCACAAAGTGTCGTAGAAAATGCAAAGAAAGTCAGTTTTAAAGCTTACCCCTCTGTAGCTGCAACCCCAGACAAACCTGTTGAGACATTTCTAAGTATTTTTTAATTTCTTGCCATGCAACAATCTCTCAACAGAGCAAAGTTGCCCCCCTCCCCACCTCTGTTGAAAGTTGTTTCGGCCTAACAGCTCACATGTGCATTTCTTGTGTTGCCACAAACAACACTGGAATAGAGAAGGGGGAAATGGCCTTTCAATTTGCCACAGTAAGCATTTTTGTGGGGATGAGTACAAAAAAAAAGGTAATTTTGTAATGTGTCTCAAGAGGTTTTGTCCAAGGCTGTAGTATGTACTAGCCTGCGAGTCACTTAAACCATCCTGAAAAAAAGTTATGGTTGATTAATTTATTACACCTGTCCAATGATTAACTGATAACTTGCTTTGTTTTCATCGTAATATCAATAAATGAAATAACTTCTCTTCGTCAGATCAGCTTGAAAAACAGCTTTCAATCCAGCTGATTAATTATAAGTAATAATAACAACAACAATTTGTCTTACAGTACTCTTTTAATTTCAATTCTCCCTAGACTTCACTTGCCCTTCAAGCAAGTTAACAACAGAACTCGCGAGCCCAATTGCAAAATCCTCCAGTTCTAGGCTATCAGACACAACTTTCTTTGCATGCTGCGTATGTGACATATTATGATGATTTATGGTGGTTATTATTGTGTACTTGTTGTACCAACAGGTGTATAATCCTCGTATCCGGGTTGAATCTCTGTTGGTGTCAGCCATCTCTAAAGCCAGTTCCCAGCAAAGAGCAGGTCGTGCTGGCCGTACTCGTCCTGGCAAATGTTTCAGGCTGTATACTGAGAAAGCTTATCAGAGTGAAATGCAAGACAACACCTATCCTGAAATCTTGAGGTCTAACCTTGGTACAGTGGTGTTGCAGCTCAAGAAGCTTGGCATCGATGATTTGGTGCATTTTGACTTCATGGACCCCCCTGGTACGTCATGTTGCAATATATAACTGAATATTATTATGTGACTTCTGCACAAGTTATCAAAGCAGTCATACAGCTTGTTGTTGTGTGGCATGTCAGAACACTATCTGCAGCTGTTGTCTATGACCCAGGAGTATACTTACATGTATTTGTCCTTTTTTAGCTCCCGAGACATTAATGAGAGCCCTTGAACTGTTAAATTACCTGGGTGCTCTTGACGACAATGGTGACCTGACTCCCTTGGGATCCATGATGGCAGAGTTTCCTTTGGATCCTCAGCTTGCTAAGATGGTGATGGCAAGCTGCGATCATAACTGTTCCAATGAAATCCTGTCCATTACAGCCATGCTCTCAGGTGAGACACACTATTCTCGTCCTATTTTCAAACACCAGCAGTGAGCTGTGAAATTGAATTGCAGCTTTTTTTCATTTCTAGGTGTATGGATATCAGATACAGAGTGTATCTAGGGTCTCAATTAATTAATGTATTTTTAGGAGATTAAAAAAACTGTAAAATGTTCATGATATTGAAGATCTGGATTCTAAACTTCTTTCACACATGTCAAGTGATTTCCTTTGTTTTTTGTTCATGAATCGCTTATGGGATTATAATAATTATGCCAATTTTGAATCATTAAAATTCATACTTGTCCTTGAGGCTGAGGCAAATAAAGCAAGAGAAGTAAATTATTCATCTGTGAATCAAAATGCCATTCAGTTTGTTTTGTTCCCTTCATCTCGGAAACAAGTGTGAATTTTATTTTAATGATTCCCAAACTGGCCCATGGGAACATGCAGTTGCACCAAAGGTTCTAATGCACATTGTATGTTGCAACATAGTTTAAGGTTCATGATATCGTTGATTTTATTTGGAATAGCAATAACTGTACACTGAACATTAAAATCATGACTTTGTTTTCAGTTCCTCAAGTTTTTTTGAGACCAAATGAAGCAAAGAAGGCTGCAGATGAAGCAAAAATGAAGTTTGCTCACATCGATGGTGACCATCTGACCTTGTTGAATGTTTATCATGCCTATAAACAGAGTAAGTCACCTTTGACAAATCTAAAACTGAATTTTTGCCAGACTGCAGTAAAGTGTACCGTCAACTCTCTCTTAATGGACACCTCTGTAAAACAGAGACCGAGAGTAGGTGCCTGCCTTTCTTTACTCCCTTTATTTGATTCTCTGTAAGACAGACATAACTCTTATACGGGCACACAGTACAGGTTCCAGAGGTGTCTTTCTTAGAGAGAATTGACTGTAACTTCACCTGTATTAATTCAATTGTAATATTTTACTGTAATTTTTATTGTTACGTAGACCATGAAGACGTACAGTGGTGTTATGACAACTTTATTCAGCATCGATCACTCAAGTCAGCTGACAATGTGAGGCAGCAACTTGCCAGAATCATGGACAGGTTCAACCTGGCACGTCGCAGCACTGACTTCAACAGTCGCGACTATTATCTGAACATCAGGAAAGCACTTGTGGCTGGATTTTTTATGCAGGTATCATAACAACTTACAGACCTTATTGAGAATCACTTCAGCTCTTATCAGATTTGGACTCTTTCCCCTGTTAAAGGGATCCACTAATACACAGACCAACCAGCTTATTAATTATAATATTATTACTCAATAATACTCTTTCTTCTAATAAGCCCTTTTTTCCTGAGTGCCAGACAAACAATCATGAAAAAAAAAACCTTTAAACTGCTGGTCTTCTGAAGTTCCTCATTGTGAAAGGTCATAAAATTGACACTGCCTTTTACTAGTAAAGTTAAAAACAGAACTTTTTTTTAGTTTTCATGCTGAATGCCTTTTTTATAAGGTCTGTCCTTTTAATCTTTGTACCTGGTATTAAATTCTCTCCTATGTGTGTATGTAACAACTGTCTTTGTTTAAGACTCAAACAAAAAGGGTTAGGCAAGACCTTTTGCACTACAGTACGTTATGTGAGGTGGTGCACCTCTGGCAAAGCATAACATCCTGCCCAGGTGGTGGGGTAGTGGGAATAATTATGTGTAGTTGTTTCATGTTTCATGTTGTTGGCTTAAGATACACCCCTTTCAGGTGCTTGGTAAAAGGCCTGAATGAAAGTTTCTCATTTTGCTTCTCAAGGAAACACAAGGCAACTTAAAAGGGCAATCTAAATGCTTATCAAATGCACCCCTTTAAATTAAAATGCACCTTAACACATTTCAAGGTGGGAACACTGTACTTTCAGGCCAGGGGGAATGGATAATATACTGAATGTCCACTGTTTTGTCTCCTTGTGGTTCAAGGTGTAGCAAAGTGTCAAATTCATGCTTTGAATACTGAGGAAACTGTTTGTACTGAAAAAAATCACCAAGTGTTCCAAACATGGGTCTTGACAGTTTCCTTTACCTTTTACCCTAGAAGTAAGTAGTCATCAGTGAGGGGAATGTTCAGTGATCCCCCCAGAATTGACTGCATCCACAGTTTCAGCTATCAGAAGTTGCTTGAAAAAATTCTTTTTTTAAGTTAAAAAAGTGGAAGGATCTTGCATTTTGCCTGTTAGAAATAATTAATTATGTGGATTTACATTACCCCTGCTGATGTGCAAAACAAAGTTAATGTCATCTGCCTTTGCCTTTTATATATGCCCATCAAGAATAAGATTTGCTGGCTCTAAAAATCGTCAATTCTGGGTGCATTGAGCTGTTCCCCTGACTGACTGAGTAATTTTATTTGAAGTGTCTTAGATACTGACCATAAAATCTGTGAATCCTCAATCTCCCACCCCACCCTCCCTGCCACTTACTGTTCTGATGAGTAGGTAGCTCATTTGGAGAGGTCTGGACACTACCTTACAGTCAAAGACAACCAGGTTAGTAAATGAAGCACTCACGATAATGATAATGAGTATGAGTGAAATGATACAGTGAAACCTCTATTAAGTGGACACTAAGCCAGGTCCCGAAATTGACGTCTTATATTTCCCTTTATAACAAACCTCTATTAAGCAGATGTGGACCCTAAAATAAATTGTAAATTCTAATTTGGCTATTGTTAATAACCTCTATTAAGCGGACACTGGACTGAATTGACATTGGTAGTATTGGATTACATCCTTAAAATATTTACTGTAGTCGATCACCCACCAAGGACGAGGGCCGAGGTGGATAACACCCTCCGAGATCTGCTTAATTCTTCATATCCTACGAAAGCCGAATTCATTAATTGCATTATTCAGGGTTTTCATTTGAGGCCGGAGGCCGGACGTTTCGTCCGGTCGTTTGCCATTCCACGTCCGGTACTTTGAGATCAATATTGGCGATTTTTTTTTACTACTGTATTATATATTTTTCTTACTAAGGCATCTCATGAACATACTGACTAGAGGATAACAGAATAATCAATTACATTCTTCAAAACGGCCATATAACTCTTTTTTCTTTGCTTATTGAGCAACGGGATATTTTATTGGTTTCCCCTCTTCATTTAAACGGAATTGAAGTGACTATTTCGTTCTCATTCCTGCTCGGCCAAGTCTTGAGGGAAATCCCCAGGTAAAACAAAATTCTGTTGTTGCCATTCTCCCTCCCCCTCCCCCTACCAACTGACCATTTTCATTCAGTAATTTACTTTTTAAAGAGAATTTTAGTGAGCGCCAGCATTGCCTAGGAAACTGTTTCCTTGGTTCCAGAAACGCTGGAAATGGCGTTTCTGAGTATTCTATTTTAAAAATTTCCTGGGGAGGGCATGCCCCCAGACCCCCCTAGCTGCTTGCGCCTTCGGCGCTTGCGACGCGCCTTACGGCGCCAAGAAAAAATTCACGTCCGGTGCTTTCAGAAGTATGTCCGCTACTTTACAAAACAGTTGAAAACCCTGATTATTATTCATTCAAAATAATTCTTAGTTTAAAAACGTAGCTAAAACATGCTTACCTGCATCAATGTTAAGTTCATCTTCGATAGTGTACATTTAGGTTTGTCCAGCTCCACAAATATTCTCCAAATACCAGCAGATGTCGCCCTCCCAGTTGTCTTCTTGCTGTTTTTGCTATGTTTTTAGCTATTATTTCGCCTAGTTCCAGCTGTAGTTCTTACTCTTGAAACGAGTGAAGTGTCTGCCAACTCAGCCTCGTCCGCAGGTCTTCTCAGTAACTGTGCCTTAACTTGTAGCAGGATGCATTTTTGACATCATTTCCTGGTTAAATGCTAAATTCTTCCAAATTTGGTCATCAGTAACTGGTTATGGTGAATTATGCGAGTGCTTTTAGCCAATCAGATTTGGGGAAATATTTTGAATTAGTAATGTAAGATGCTAATTCTGTTTTTTATTCAAAATGCTGATCAATTGATTTTTTAGGTTGTACAACTGCATCCATCTACTTGTTTGGACCACAAGCCTGAGTGGGTGCTGTACAATGAGTTTGTCTTGACCACAAAGAACTACATTCGAACCTGCACTGACATCAAGGCTGATTGGTAAGTAATGGTTGTATTTTTAATATATTATACACTGTAAAATACCTGCAATGATAATGGTGACAGACCACAAGGCTGAAAAAAACAAACGTGATTTCCAGCATGTCCTTTGGAGTTGCACTGGAGAAAAAGCCCTTAATGTTATGCTCAGGGTTTTTTAAAATGTTATTTTTAGTGATTATTCTTCTCTATAATATGGCAGGCTGGTGAAGATTGCACCTCAGTACTACGACATGAGAAATTTCCCGATGTGTGAGGCCAAGCGTGTATTGGAAAGAATCCTTGACAGACTGCAGAAGAACAGATAAAGCTAACCAACCCATGGATAGCTGCTGAATGGATGTTATTCCTGTCTACTGCTCAAAGAACTTACAAGTTCCAAAGTCAAAAGACAAAAACAGTTAACAGCCATACCATTGGTTCATTGTACTTCCGCATGCTTAAATGTTCTTGCATGTGCTGTACTCAGCAATGTCAGGTTTCTACACACACCTTGATAATTTTATATCAAAATGCTCCGTAGCTTTCTGATGTAGGTAACCATCTTTGTGGAGAGTTTAGTGTTGTAAATAGCTATAGGCTACTGGTATGTAAACAAAAGCACACCACAAACCATAGTTAATTGAGTGGAATGGTTATGAAACCCGTCAGACTCCTTTGTTATATGTTTTTATGGACCTGAAAGTGCACAATGTTCAAAAGAATTCCTATCATTTTGATTGTATTGACCAATAAAAACGTTGCATTAATTTATTCCGTAACAATTTGCCAACAGAAAACAAAGGATTGTGCACTTTCCGGGTGCTTCCAACATAAACTGCAGCACTGTTGTTTTTATCATTGATGTTTGCCGCTTTTCATAACCAGTCTCCTCTAATAACTATGCACAAACTGTTTCAAAATACCATAATTTTATGTACTGGCAAAACCTAAAATGATTATAATGACATGATAATCATGTAAGTAAGATGCAAGCATGCCATACAAATAGGATATGAGATGTCTTCTCATCTGAGCTAAGACAGGCATTATAATACTGACACAGTTGGTATCTAATTTCACTTGTATCTAGTATTTTCCTCATAGGTAAATTGCACTATTAACTTCTATTATCTACATTAGGTCAATTGTTTTTTGAACAATGATTAAAATACCCTTTGACAGTAACACCATTAAAGCTATTCAGCAGTTGAAATAATTTTATTAACATAGTTTCAGTATCTCCTACTTATTTTAAAACATTTCTTGTGTTCAAGGAACAAAATAAACATTTTTCTTGAATTTAATTTTAGTTACCAAACTTGAGGTAGCTCAAAAACAATTATTGATACTTGGTGCTTATTTTGTGCATACATGTACAGCTTATTTTGGGTGTAATTTTATCATACTCACACTATGACTATAAACTGCCCCTGGGCCTCCAAGTGTGGTCTTTTGGAGAATGCAAAAAAACACTTTGGAAGTGCTTTTGTAGTTGGACTTTCAAGTTACCCCAGGCAAAAGTGTACTTATAGAACACAGCTGGCCTGACAGTGCTTTTTGTTAGTAATGCTGGCCCCGGTTCTTCTAAAGTTGCATAGCACTATCCAACAGATAAATATTAGGGAAACCAATTGTATTGTCCACCAGTTAGGGATTTATCCAGTGGATAACTTTATCCACCTTTTAACAACTGGGGCCTGGTGTATGAAGACAGGACATTAGTTGCATGAATGATTTTCCCCAAAGTTACTGTTACGTCACTGCCATTGGGCTTTATGCCATGGCTTTTGAGCTGTCTGCAATGCACTGTGCTAAAGCTTGTGGACTCGGCTTCTCCGCCACTGCTGTCACATTCCAACTTTTACTTTTCATTGCCTCAGCTGTTGTCTTTCCAATTGCAACAAGCTATGGAACAAAGTGATGTACCGGTAACATCAATAATATTTTCTCCCAGCAATATTGGCACATATCAAGAGAATTCGTTATGGGAATTAATGAAATGATCACTGAAGGGAAACTTCTTTGATCTTTAACGAAATTCTCTCAACTGTTTCTTAAGGGAAAGGTATGAGCATCAGTTTAGAGAATTTGAGTGTAGATATTGGGGCGTAAAGATTCACTAGAGAAAGATACCGCTACTTGATAAGTGACATTGTTGCACCTCCATGTGGATCATGTATGCATATCCAAAAAAGAAATGAAAATCATTTTCTCAGTCAAAGCACAATACACTGAAACCCATCATGAAAGATCACCAATTCTTGCATTTTGGTTGGTTTCTTATGGGGTGTTCAACTGTATGATTTGCTTTTGGACCCTTCACCTTCATATCAATAATTGCCATGTGGCTAATAGCTAGTTAAAGTTTATTGCAGCTGTAATTTTGAAGCAAGGTGTTCATTTGAAAAATAAATTACTTTTTTTACTTGTAGGATTGTGTTGTTACCCTCCATCTCTCACATGAAAATTTTCTTGGGGCATGTTGACCCTCCATTTCGAAGAAATTACAGTTTGGTCTTTGCGGAGTTCTTTAATTAAAAACATTCCAGCTTCACAGACACAGCCAGCCCCTGTTCCCTGACTTTCTAAATACTGCACTTTTAAGGGGATATAATAACACCCCCTAGAAGTCTTTCAACTCCATGTGCAACAAATTTGAAATTATGACAAATTATAATTTTCAATTCCTGCACAAGCTAGAGTGAAGTAGAGGCCACTACTTTACCTTGACATTTTCACGCCATCCTGACAAGCCTGACAAAATTTCTTCTGTAAATGTAACTCCAGAGGGACTGAAAAACACTGCATATGATGGAAATCCCTAGATATAAAGACACTGTCTTGTGAGCCACCAGCATCAGTCTTGACAAGGGTTGAAAAGTGCATTGAAATTGATAAGGCTTAAGCCCCGTTTTCTGGGGTACAGGATCAGTTTCATCATTCACTTGCTTATAATGCTCCGGTATCCAAAGGCACAATGTTATGTAGAATTATCTGTCAGTTACTAAATTATTTTACGTATGATTACAATATTGTAGCCTGTACTGTAACACAAGAAAAAATAACAGATTCCCAATATTGGATATTTTAGGGTATTTAAAGAATACCCACAAAAATCCCAAATTTGGCAAAGTGAGACAAGTCCCAACCAGGGAATTCCCAACTAAGTTCCCTGGTTGGGACTTGTCTCACTCTTCCAAATTTTGGATTTTTGTGTGTATTCTTTAAAATACCCTAAAATATCCAAAAATGGGAATCTGTTATTTTTTCCTGTGTAAAGGAAGCCCAAAAAAGTATTGGGTGCAAGATAAAAGGTGTGACTTGAGGGATCTCATTCCTTCACCCAGCTTCCATCCTACTTACAGACATCTCCAGCCATTTCCCTGCATGAAAACTATCCCTCCTTTAAGCTTGCATGTAGTGGAGCACTTCCCTTTTTTGGGTCTTGTGATAATTTTTATGTTCTGGGTATACAGGCTTTGATTATTGGTAATACCTTTTCCCTAACAAAATCTTTCAAAGATTCCTTTATCTTTGAATCAGCACAGGTAGTGTATGCCTGCACACCATCAAGTACTATCCCTGTTCATAACAATCAAAGACAAGGCAAGGTTATTAGATATACAATGTAGATTGGTTAATGTAAGGTTAGTGTTGTGGTCAGAATAAAACAAGGACTGCAGACAAGGTTTGAAACACGGACTAGGTGTATACTGACCACATTTTTAAAAACTGCTGATTCATTCAAGGTAGGTAAAATTTGGAATTCTGTCACTGCGAAGGCACATTTTATCCTCTTAAAAACTTAAGATATAACATACAAATAGCTTGACATAGCCCTTTTCAAAGATTTTGTCAGTTTTTTTGGACCAGACTAAAATCTGTTACAAGGGAAAATTCATACAGCATTTTATAGCACGGCTCCGCGCGCACAAGTGGAGCCCCATTAACTTAAGAAAATTTGACAATCTATCCATCCAAGAAATTTCGTTAATGACGTGACCATATGCCTGTCTACCCGTCCAACTGCACCACAGGGAAACCAATGTGAAATGTCAAATTTTCTACCGATATTTGTTTTACCTGATAATAGACATCCATGTTATGGTCAATTGACAGGTGTCAATTAAAACAGGTTATCCACTGACCAGTGTCACATGACCGTATCGTCGGCTCAGGTGCCAACTCATCAAGGTCACATGTTTTTTTGAAGTTTTCTGCTGATCAGTTGTTAGCTTTTAATTGATCATGGGCTCAAGTTTATGCCTTTCAGTCATATGGTTTTCCCCTCAAGTTAAGTATAATTATTTGTGGTCTCTTCAATAATTTTAAGTCCATTGTCTGCAGTAAATTTAAAATGCACAGACGGGAGTTTGGCTTTAAGCTCTGGCTTAAGCTATTTATTAATACCAAACTGTACAACTAGTGGTTTCTGATAGCTTATGGAGACAACTTAATTATGGCTTATAAAAATTATTGTTGCCAAAACCTTTTACCTGCTTTGGCCATCTCCACTGGTATTGTCTCTCTTCTTAAGTTACCACATGGAAACAACAGTGGGTTGCTGCCTGGCTCTACAGCTTCAAAGAGATTGGTAGCAAAAACTAAGTATGTTAACGTTGCCTTTCTATAGTTTATCCCCCAGTTGCATCAAGGCTCTCCCTTTTCCCTTCCCCTCTCAACTCCAAGGGAAAGAAAGTGAAGAGACACTTCGACAAGGTTTGCCTGTAGGTGTATGTATCCCTTCAGTAACCTTATACCCAGTGGACCCAGAAGAGACCAGAAGACAGTGGTTGTCATGGGTAGAGTGTTAACAAGTCATGTTGACAATAATTATTATTTGGATAGCACACAGGTTTTTAATTGTTTGTGATAATTGTGGGTGACACGAGGAGCTAGCAATCCTTATCTCCAGGTTGCAAAATTATATTAAAGGCAGCGTTCATTTGGACTCCCACTAGGAATGAATAGAATGTACAGAAACCAATCTGATCACGCGCATTTGTTTCTTCTGTCACTTGTAATCTGATCATGTACATTTTGAGCATCTATCACAAGAAACTTGCATAAAGCACCAGCATTGGGGCAAGAGTGTTTTGACCATCGATCAGAAGCCTGAAATGTACTCGCCCGCACTCCCTAACCTTTGTTTAATAATACTAATATTGATATATATCATTACAAGAAATTGATCTTAAATTTTTACCCTTGAGAATGATTGGAACCAGAGACTCTGCATTACCAGCCTCAAAACCAGAACTTTCAAGTCCAAGCTTGTCACTGGCTTTTAAAAGAAAGAAAACAGTACTAGTATCATTATAAACTCCTGGTACAAATAATTAGTTTTAAAAAATTAGACGATGCAATTTACTAGCAGGGAATAAGAATTTTTTGGGTTCTTTCTTAACAAATGAAACTTGACTGTACAAATTAAAAAAATTAAAATTACAGTCTCGTCAATGAGAAGAAAAGCGTAAAGGACTATAAATATTAAACATTGTACTCATGATCTGTTCAATAAAACTCCACACAATATATACATGGAATTTTCTTTATAACACACATTTCACTGAATTCTTATTTTATTGTTAAGTATCTTCCAGAATCTTTTACTGACAGAAAAATAACATTTAGTTTCTTCAATGACATACTAAGTCTTTGAAAATTTACCTGCATTTCTTGTAGCTTTTCCTACAACAAAAATGCACTTTTGTTGCCATATCTTGGCCATCTTGGTTTTCCAAACTAGGATATAATTTAGAAATAATTTAATGTCAATATAGAATCACTCAGTATATAAGTGTGACCATAATAATTATTATATTAATTTTAATAAAAGGTGAGAAAACCTTCACTGACCTTCTTGTGATACAATGTCTGTTACACATTTTTCTATGGCTTCAACAGCACGCTGGCTTGTAAGAATCATGCCTAAAACAATGTTCAGTCAACCTGAATACTAATATTAAAATTCACAGTGATAAAATTCAAAGGGTAAAAAAGCTACTTAGAGTACCAGGGTTAAAACAATCACTGAGCCATCAGTGACCTACCGTAAATCCCCTACAAAGTTCCCCCCCCTCCCTGCCTTTCAGGTAAAGAAAGTTAATAAGCCCCCCTCTCTTTTAATTCAAACCCCCTCCCCTCCGCATTAATATTCTTCACTAATAAATGATAGACTGTATTAATCAATCACGACTGTAAAACTTCATGTGGACTTATGCGGGTTGATTCAGCAATTTTTGATCCTTGGCTGCAGATCTCCAACTTCTTCTTACCAAGGTTTTCCACTGTGGTATCAATTCTTCATTTTTGCCCACCACAGAGAATCAGGTATCCTAATATTGTTTTGCTGTATTTGCACAAGTATCTTAATCATGCACAGGACCCCCAACACAAAATAGGCCCTTTGCAGCTAGCCATTCACGTGTTACAAAACCGCCGTGCTGGAGAGCAAAAGTCGCAGTGGGACAAGACAAACAAAGAAAATTACAATTTCAGATTATGTATGTCTTTAGCTTGTCTTGTCCCAGTGCGACTTTTGCTCTCCAGCATGGCGGTTTTGCGCCACGTGAATGGCTAGCTGCAAAGGGCCTATTATAATAGGCTGATTTAGCATCAGAACGGGAACGTCAGTTGACGACGGGAAGGCACACGGGAAAGGACTAAATGCTTCTTCCAGTGCCCAATTTCCCACTCTGCGATTGGTCCAGCCAGTTGTTTAATTTGTGTGCGCCGTCGTCAGCTGACTTTCCCGTTCTGTTGCTAAATCTGCCTATTACTGCAGGCATACTTGAAAGTCATGTAGTACCTCCATAATCCCCTGATTTTTCAAGTTTTTGCAAAAGTTCTTGCTGGTTTTCAAACTTGAAGGACAGTACGGGGATAGAGAATGGCTTAAAACCACCATCCAACAAAACCTGAGAGAAAAGAAAAAGATTTGCTGAAGTTTTTTTATGCTTTATAATACTCACATGGTCTCTAGGATCAGCCAGCCGTGTAAAAAGATTTTACAACATATCGCCAGAGGTAACCACTGATAGATAGACTAGCAATACTAATAAGTGGCTTCATATTCTTTTATCATTATTATTATTGTTATTATTATTATCATCATCATCATTATTATTATTATTATTATTATTATTATTATTATTATTATTATTATTATTATTAATATCATTTTAATATTTTTAATAGCCTAAATTATAGCAGTACCCCTTTGATAAAACACTTTTTAAATAGTGTATTTGCCTTTCGTTAAGTCTTAAAACAGGAAAAACATTAAAAAGGAAAGGAAGAATCATAGAAGGACAGTGAATGCATAGCCTTGCAGCTAAAAAGTTTTAAATGAATCTAAACGGCTAGACTTGAGACCAGACTTCGCTCAACCGCTATAAAAGATTATTGAGGTCATTATTCCTTTTGTTGGATGAATAACTTTATAGTTACACGAGTATTATTTTCACCTTGTGGTAATCATCTTCCCTGGGTGTTAAAGAAGGCGACCGGAATAGAAGAACTGATGCCATCAATATGTTTTAGAAAACGCAAATCCTACATGTTTTGCGACCGCCATATTGCTCCAAAACCAAGACTAGACCCAGACTCCTCCAAAAACTCTTCTGCTCGTTGTCACGCAAATCTAGGATGTCGTCCTACATTCCTTCAGAAGATGAAAAAGAGAAATTTATGGCTCGTGCCATCGAACTTAGTGAGGAAGGAGCAGCTAAAGGGTGCGGTGGACCGTTTGGATCGGTAGTTGTCAAAGAGGGAAAGATTGTTGGTTAGTATTGACATTGAAAATGGCCTTTTTGAGCTATTTTGAGGCTTACGGTACTTTGCGAAACGAAACGAAACGGTACTTTGCGAAATGGTACTTTGCGAAACGGTACTTTGCGAGATGGTACTTTGCGAAATGGTACTTTGCGAAACGGTTTGCGGGGTGTTACTAAAACGAAGACCCAAAAACGAAGACCTAAGACCTAAGACCCCTTGGACTAAAACGAAGACCCTATGGACTAAAACGAAGACCCTATGGACTAAAACGAAGACCCTTGGACTAAAACGAAGACCCCTTGGACTAAAACGAAGACCCTATAGACTAAAACGAAGACCCTATGGACTAAAACGAAGACCCCATGGACTAAAACGAAGACCCCATGGACTAAAACGAAGACCCCTTGGACTAAAACGAAGACCCCATGGACTAAAACGACTGATGCTAACCGCTGAGGGCAATGCCCGCTCCCGTAATTTGTTACGGCGATTTGGGAATGTTGTGGAATTTCCTCTGCATTATTTAGTTGTGATAGTCAAGTCTATCACTTACCTTTCCTTCAGGTTTCTTTGCGGAAAATATTTTGCATGTTTTAAACCTCTTTGGAAGTGTTTAC